GAACAATACGGGGTGAACTTCGCGCAGGGCAGAAAAAAAAAAGAAAAGTTCCGCTCTCAGCTACTTGTTGCAGGTTGTTCAGTCTCAATCAACTCCGATGTATTCTTGGAGGAGAGCGTACTTCGAGATGATGGAATCGATGGAGTACCAATTGTTGTATAGTGTTTTTGAGCAACTGTACCTGCAAACAGGCTCTGTGGAAGAGATCCTCGTTTATAAGACAAGCTGACGGAGTGAATCTCTCTGCTCACTTGTGGTAGCCCTTTCAGTTGTTTCCAGCGGTGTGGATTTGTTAGTGACAATAGCGTCATAGATAGAGATGGTAAGCGGTACTGTTTTGGACCTTGTAACCACTGTTGTTCTATCTGAAAGTCACAAAATGCATCCCATAAATTGGATAATGAATAGTAAAGATTATGCTCTCGACCTCTTGTTGTAGATGATGCGGCTTCTGTCGATTCTGACGGCTTCTTTGAAGAGCGTGAAGAAGCCGGGTTGAAGCCGGTACTTGTGAGGCGTTCGCCTGCGAATGTGTCTAATAAGTTTTTACTATAAAATTTCGTATGAGCTTTTTTTTACAAATTATTCAAACAACATGGTTCCGTTCAGTTACTTGTAGTGACGCTTTTGGTCCTTTGCAATGTTGTGGACTTGTTGGTTACACTACCGCTGTGGATTGAAGACGACTGTTGCACTGTTACAGAACTTGTTTTCAGATCTGTCGAGCCCTTTTCTAAAGAGACAATATCAATTGCCGAAGCTAAACGTGAAATAAATAATGCAGCCCAATCACTTGTTGTTAATCGTTCAGCTTTTGCTGTTTTCGAAGTTTCTCGGGTAGAGTGAACACTATGAGATGGAGAGACCGACATGGTAACCTTGGCTGTATGTGTTCCTGCAACTGTACTAGCTCTTTGCGATACATAAGTTCTATGACTCTATAAGAGATTCCGGAAGAAGAAGATTCTCACGCTCACTTGAACTTGTCTTTTCAGCTGTTTCCAGTGTTGTGGACATTCCTTCTGAACTGGTTCCATGAACCGAGGAGAGGTGCTCCGTTATTCTTGGGCTTGTAACTGCCACTGCTGCATCAGTACCTAGAGAGGGGATGAAACATTATAAAATGCATTTCATAAGAGAGAGATAGGCAGAGAAAGTTCAATTTCGGATCACTTGTCGTGAATTGTTCAGCTTCCGTCAATTCTGTGGCGTACTTAGACGATTCGCTGCTGTGAGTTGAAGGATGTGAGGAAGTGACAGTGCCTGTATGATGCTTACCTGTAACTGTGCCTGTCACAAGTTTTGTAAAATAGAACCTATGAGCGTCATGAGAGACAAGGAGTAGGGTTTTGCCTCCTTACTTGTAGTGATACTTTCTACTGCTCCCTGTGGTGTGGGCTTGCTGGTTTCAGTAGCTTCATAAGTGTTGGAGGACTGATGCATTGATGCAGAGCTTCTAGTCTGTAGTGTTGCAACAATACCTACAAAGGTAATGAGAGTTACAAAACACATTCTACTAGATGGGAGCCGAGTGAGAACTTGAGTCACTTGTTGTCGATTGCCCAGCTTTCGTCAATTCTGAGGAGGTGTTGGGTGTTTTGCTACTGTGAGATGAAGCAGGTGACGAAGTGACAGTAGAGTTGTCACAGTAGTGACAGTATACATGATGTTCACCTGCAACTGTGCCTGTAACAAGTCTTCGCAAACAGAATCCAAGAATTTCTTGCACTACATTCTAGAGGACAAGGTTCCGCTCCCTCACTTGTTGTGGTGCTATTTGCTTCTTCCGATGCTGTGTGCTTGTTAGTGGCACTAGTTTCCTGAATCCTTGTCGTCTCGTGTTCTGTTCTGAGGCTTGTGATAGGCAGTGTTGTAACAGTACCTACAAAAGTAATGAAAGTAACAAAATGTTTTCCTGATGGGAGTCGTTTGGAGACTTAATTCACTTGTCGTAGATCGCTCAGATCCCACCAACTCTAAATGCTCTCGGAGGATTTGACGTGAAGAGTGAACAAAGTGAGCGAGGAGCGGAGAAAGTTTCTTCACTCATCACAGTAAAATTCTCCGAGTGCCCTTCAGAGTTGGTGGGATCTGAGCGATCTACGACAAGTGAACCAAGTTTCCAATCAGTTGTTGCAGTAGTTGCACCCCTTCTGCGTGCACATCTGCCTTTAAAAAATCTTGAAAAACTGCGTCTATCGGCGACTCGCAGAACGGAACGGAGAAAGGATCTTTTGCCTCACTTGTGGTAGTGCTCTCAGCCAGAGTTGCGGATTTGCCGGTTGTTAGATCACCAGAGATCGAGGACGATTGCGGCATCGTTTCGGAGCTTGTAATCGGCATTGTAGTGTAAGCACCTGGAGAGGCAATAAAGGTTCAAAATCATCCCATATTATGATAATAAAACACGGACTCTCACCACTTGCTGCAGAGTGTTCAGCTTCTGTCAACACGCCAGGGGAGGGCGTTGTATGTTGTGAAGAAGAAGAGGTCGTGTTCTCCTTTATAATACTCACACCATGAGGGAAGAGTGCATCTGGAGTTGCTGTGGAGCTTTCAATCACTGATGCTGCAGTGAAAGGTAGAATAGGTGAGAATCACAAAATACATTTGAAACAGTGGGTGATGGAATAGAAAGGATTGCGTTTGCATCACAAATTGCTTAGCTTTTATCGAACTTGATTTGTGTTCGGTACAACCACCATTGTCAGGAAAAAGAAGCTGACCTAATCTGTCGACAGTGAGCTTTCGCTTAACGTAAGACAAACCGAAGAAGCAATTTGTAAGTTCCTCACGTGTTGTGGTTCTGTCTCGCTCTAGAACTGTCGTCTTCAATGGGACCATAGTGCTATAGACTGTTGCTGTTTGCGGCATTGTTACAATAGTTTTAATAACCGTTCCACTATCGGTATCTGAAAAGGTCCTGACAGCTTTGAACTGCATAAATTATGGTGAGAGAAAAGCTGGAATAAAAGTTACTCGTTGCTGGTTGCTCAGCTTCAGTCGACTGTGCTGGCATCGTCCTGGAAGGTACAATTCGAGTCGATGTAGGGATGGTGCTTGTAGGGTATTCGTCTGCACGTGTGCCTGTAACGAAGTTTTGCATGCTAGAACTTATCAGCTTCTCGCTAGACAATCCGAAGTACCCAGATTTCGCCCACTCACTCATAGTAGCGTTTTGGTTTTGAAAGGTGACTAGCGATATGGGATGAGGAGGACTGAGGCTTTGCTAATTGGCTTGTATTCAACACCGTCGTATCAGTTCTCAGGGCGGCAGTGAATATTACAAAATGCATTTCATAATAGGAATGATAGAACATTAATTTTCATTCACTTGTTGTATATTGCTTAGCTTCTGTCACGTTCGGTGAATTCGTGGAGGACATGACAGCGCGAGTTGGAGAAGTCGACGTAAGGGCAGCGGGCTCGTCTGTAATGTCTATGAATTGCTTTTTGAGAAAATTGAAAGTATGAACACGTGGCAAGCAATACAAGGACATGCTCGCTTACCTGTAGTGGTGCTTTCATTTGCTCCCACTGATGTTGGCTTGCTAGTGGTACTAGAGCCATAGGTCGAAGCAGACTGAGGCGTTGCTGATGCGCTTGTAGTCAGCAGTGTTGCACCAGTACCTAAAGAGGAAATAGAAGTTACAGTATGTTGGAGGCGACTAAAAAAGGTCGATCATCAGTCACTTGTTGTAGATTTCTCAGCTTTTGTTGTTTCTGATCTGCTTTTGAAGGACTTCAAAGTAGAAGGTGATGAAAGTGAAGCAGTGGCAGTGGTCTCATGGTTTTTGCGTACAGCTGTGCCTGTAATGAATCTATTGCAAAACGCTTCTATAAGTTTTTCCGTGATTACTTCTAAGGAACAAGATTCCATGTTTTTTCTGCTAACTTGTAGCGGTGCTTTTGGCTGCGTCCGTGGGGGTGGACTTCTTAGTGGTACCAGCTCTGGAGATCAAGGACGACAGAGGGGTAGTTGCTGGGCTAGTAATCAGTCGTGTGGTATCAGTGCCTGGAAGTGCAATGAAAGCAACGAATCACTTTTTACAAGGAGAAAGAAGGGTAATTTTGGTTACCTGTTTTTGATTGCGCAGCTTCTGTCGTGGTCAGCGAGGAATTGAACCTGCAGGTTGAAAAAAGCGAAGTGGTAGCCTTGAATTTGCAAGTTGAAAAAAATGAAGCGGTAGTGGTTCCATAGCCTTTACCTATAAAAGTGCCTGGAATGAGATTTCGTGATACAGAACCGATGCGCTTAGCCCCACGTGACCGATAAAGGAATTCTTTTCTGCTTACATATGAGAGCGCCCTAAGTTTTTTAAATTGTCGGCTTGTCGTTTAGGCTAGTGTTGCACACCATCGAATATTATTTCAGCCTCACTTGATGAGCAATTTGTGGGCGGAACTTCGTCGTCGGACGGGACTTGAACCCATACTTCTTTTTTAGTAGCCCCAAGCTCTTTGCCACCGATACTCCGCTTTCCGCCGCCTTATTGACGTCTCATAAGCATAGCACTACACGTATAACATATTAAAGAAATGGTCAGTCAATACCGGCATTGAACCGAGAAGCTGAAGAAGAGAAGCCGTCCATTAAGACTGCAACAGCAAACGAGATATCTGGTTGTGGGATGAGGACGATTCTTGGAAAGAACAAGTGCGGGTACGAGCCTCGCCGGGGGCCGAAGTTTTGCCCACAATCCGCTAACCTTGTGAGTTTTCGCACCGCCCACTGAGGCGAAATAATAGCCTTTAGCAAGCACATCAATGGGTTGTTTTCATTCATGTAGTTATCTATTTCTTACAAAGGATGAAAATAAAGAAATTTGGGTTCTCACTTTCAGAGACCCTTTTATCCTGCTCTGGAGTAATGGACTTGTTGATAAAACCAGTAATTTCAGTCATTAAGTGCCCCCTGATTGAGGGAGTGAGTGTCTACCCCGATTGATTTGTTCCAGGTTAGTAGTCTAGGTTTTTACTTCCATAATCAATAAGCGATTTTTTAGAAACGAAGCCACTTACCAGGGAGGGGTAGTCTACTTATCTTGGAACTTTGAATTCAGACCCAGATAGATCGATAGGGTTTTGAATGCTGTTTACGAAAATGGAAATTAAANTTTAATTTCCATTTTCGTAAACAGCATTCAAAACCCTATCGATCTATCTGGGTCTGAATTCAAAGTTCCAAGATAAGTAGACTACCCCTCCCTGGTTAGACCTTCGATATCAGCGCTTTACCAAGAGCTATAAGGGTGTTGGGCGAACACCTACTGAGGACTACACTACAAACCCATACAATCAGTTCGAATGAGGTATCTCCTTAATTTCCACAGCACCAGTAACTTATTGCCGATTCGGCTGGTTGGTTCGCTTTTTCCGAGATGGGTACAGCTTTATGGGTGTTAGGAGATAATGTCGTTTCAGTGTGGAAGTCGCAGTCTCCTGTCGGGAGACAGCTTCAGAATTTTTAAAAGCTCATTTCAAAATCAAACCCACTCACTCCAAACTGCTCATTTTTCCACTTTGCAGCGCACTCTAAATATAATAGTTATCTATCCATTCCATAGGTCTGATTGTTCACAGCAAAACGTCTCTCGTATAGGATAGAAGGCGTAAATCAGTGCTAGACTATAGCTCACTGTTATTGGTTGCCCGACCATCATTAGGTGATATAATCTTGTTTCTACCTAAAGTTTTGCAATGGTCCTTCTCTTGAGACTCTCTGCGCTACTCACTTTCATGCGCTCACATACAATGAAATTCCACCAGGTAGATGACCGATCGAGGTTCACTTTCGACCTTCTTACTTCGAACGGCTGACACGACGTATGCGCAGAATTGGCTAGAATTTGCTGGGAAGCCACATACTGGCACTTCAATTGGTTCCACCAACGGAGATGACGGGTTCGTTCTCATAAATGAATAACTCGGGAAGTGGTAGCCGGATATGTTATGCATATGAGTGCGTAGTTTCCTTACTTAGGGACCTCACGAAAGCTCCTTGAAAATCTTGACGAAATCTAAGGCAGATATTTCCCGTACAACCTAATTGTAAGATGACCCTCCGCCTTGTTTTGTTTAACTAATAAGCTTTAAAGTTAACCTACTCGGCCAGTCGTCCATTCACTATTTGGTTCAACATTATCAAAATAGATAGTTCAAATACTCTAAACGATCTTGTAGAATCGCGATCCTACGCAATCTTCCCCGATAGTCACAAGCTTGTCGTGAACACTCCTTCAGCACTTATACTTCCTACTTCTTCACCATACAAGGTGACTAAAAAAGCAGTTGAAAAGATGAATTAAGATTATGCTTACGAGTGGTTTCTTGCGTCTCCGTCGACCCTGTAGGTTCAACATCAGAGTGCTGCCTGGAAAACGTCGTTCGTGGGGCAGCTTTCGCCTCTACTTCAGTTCCGACTGTTCCGTTTTCGTCTGTGCGCGTACTGCCTGCCGTTGCACATGAACGGTTGTATACAAAAACATATAGTGGAAAGAAAATATTCACTCACTGGCATTTAGAGATGTTCTTGAACCTATAGGTGGAGGGTTTTCAGGCATTGTGAGTTGCCCTGATGGAAGACGATATTTGGCAGTTGTCCGAAAATAGATGCTTTGTACTGCAATCGGATTAAGGCTAGAAGGTGATCCAGGATCAATACGACGAGACTGCGATGAGAGGGAACTGGAAGACTTCCATTGGCTTTCTGATGAAGTTGACGTCTTTTGTGATGTAAGACCAACAGACGCATCGGAGTCTGCAGACGGCACGGTGGTGTTATGTGCATCTGTAGCTATTGAAACTCCTGGCTTAGTTGTGTTGGAGGAGTAGATTCTGGAAGTCGAATTGTGCCTCTGCATCTTTGCTGTCATTGTTGCTAAGGAAAAGGCTTGAAAAGGTAAACTCTCATTCCAAGTTCTGTTAGGCATTGCAGAAGGACCATCAACATCCTTAGGCATCATCCTCGTTGTCACTTGATGTTGACCGGAGGCCCACTTTTTTCCATGCTCAGACGATGCCGGTCTTGCAGTCAACGGTAACGCTGTAGAGGTTTGTTTTGAAGTTAGAATACGTAACTGGGAACGCCTCGAAATGCTCAATCCGGCGTCTCTTTTCGTTCGTTCGCCTCTTGCTGCTGAACCATGAAAAGGACTGGATTCCCTAACAGATCGTTCACTTTTGCTTTTAGACGGTGACTTTGACGGATTTTTTAGAGTTTGGATATGTCCTAATAATATTGTAGCCAATGTTATTGTCTTTTTGGGAGGTGTGGTATTTGAAGGCTTCTTTTTGAAGCTATTGGACTGACGCTTTCGAGATACAACTCCTAGTGATTTTCTCGTAGTTGACGTTCTTCCGATCGCTTTATCTTTGGGAGATTGCAGGGGTTCATATGCAGTAGTCGGTGCAGTTGATGGTGCTATGTTCTGGTGAACTATCAAAGGAGTAACTCTTCTTGTGAAAAAATTGTAGTGAATGAACGGAAGACCCAAATGTGGTGGCTGCAGTGGGGCTGCATCTCCTCGCTTTTCACTCATCCTAGTGACTGATTTTCTCAGTTTCCGTGACCGCGAAGCTGTTCGATTTGCATTTTCTTTGGGTGGGGTTTTTTTGATAGTCGTAATCGATCTCTTATTGGGTGGAGTAGTACTTTTTGGGTTGTTTGGGCAAGGAAGCGCACTACCAAGAATTGAAGAGGAAGGCGCCTTTGGGAAAGTTTCGAGGCAGAATTCCGGGGTGCAAGGACACTGAGCCACGATACAGAAAAAAGACGTTGCTTCGGATTTGGTCGACGTTTTCGTCGAACATTCCATTCCAAGTTGGATATTGGAAAAGGATTGCCACGGGATTAAGAAGTACGGTGTTTCTTCCTCGCCTGAACCTTCATTCGCCTCATAATCTGTTAAGTCTGTATCTGAAATATAAGTCAATATCACCCTGATGAACTGAATCTTTTCTGATCTTCTGCACGTACCTCCTAGTGCAGCAGCATAAGGATATTGGGCACTCGCCCAAGCTCCATGAGTCACAAAACTGAGTAAGAGTATAGTCCACATTCCAAGCTTCATTATTCCTGAAAGCTCTTCATCGGTGGTTATATTACTGTCCGAACTGAGACCCATAAATGGGAATATCCGGCCTTTTTGTGCAAAATCCTTGATGGGTTGTAAGCTATACGGTTCAAACAAGTTGCTTGTACTTTGATGGGGCTGGTTCACGGTGAAAATGGTTCTTGAGATACCTCCCGGATGAATCTGTGGTCTGCAAGTATGCCACATGTGGAACTGTCAGACCCGAATTAGGGCGCTATAAGGGCTCAAAGATTGTAGCGACTGTATGTCACACCACGGTGAACCAATTTTAAACCGTTTCAGAGCTTCTTCGAATTGGAACACCCCTTGTTGGAAATACAAATAGCTATTCGTGACCCATCGCGATAGCGTAAGGCAGTTTGGAAAATTTCGACTGATCTCTTTACGCATTTGCTGAAATGCGACTGAAATCTCGTCCAAGTATCCTAAGCCATTTTCATCCTGGTTAATCTCGTTCAAGCTCGATTTTCACTACATTCGAGGGGAAATATATTCCGCGAATTCTGCGGATTTTACTGGGTTTTTCCTTACTTTTGTACTGAGTCAAATGAAAAAGATAGGCTTCGGTTATTTTCAGCTTCTTTTTCAATTAATTATTGTACTTCTGCCTCCTGCCACAACTTTTTCATGAAAGAACTCTAGCTGGGTTTAACTTCGTATGAACAAGTCATTTCCGAATTACAAAGGAGATCAGCCTTCCAATAGCTAGTTTCTTCTAAATCCGATCCCCAATAATAAACCATTTGGTGCTTGTTCTCAGTAGAACTGAAGAAATATAGACAAGGAAACCAAGGAATCTCGAAAGTAAATACTCACCTGACCGCAGTACGTCTTGAGCCTGACTTGAGAGGCGATAGTGTGACAGGTACTTCTTATTGAAACCCTTAGACCCGCCTTTTTACCGTAACCCTTAGCACATCAAATTTCCATTTCTAGGCAACGTTGGAGGCAATCATCTTCGTATATCAACGACCAACCTTCCTCTTTGAAATGAATAAGGTGACACATGACAGTATGCGAATCGAGTGCTTCTTGAAGACATATTAAGGTTTAAAATGGCGTTTCGCTTGGTAACCACAACACGTACGCAACAAATCTTTCAACGTGGAATACAAATCGTTTTTGGTTTATTAAAAAGTGTATAAAATTCCAAATTATGCAACATAGCAAAGGTTTCTGGTGGAAATTTGGTGATGCCTGAAGGCACAGGAAGTAAATCGCAGCAGTAGGGCTTGATCCACCGCAGCCTATTTAACGGTACTTCTCCTTCCGCACCTCCTTCTACCACAAACGCACATGCTTGCAATGAATTCAGAGCAAATTTGCCAGAAAAGCCTCTATGATAGCTGTGTTATGATTAGTTTCTACAAAATAAGGATATGGAACTTGTAATAAATAGGCTTCGAACAGAGTTGACTTGGAAATGGTAAGCTGTGATTGGGAAGCGCAGACGTCAGGGCGTTCATGCAAATGCCCTCCCAGCTAAGAATGGGAGAGTAGGATATGCCATGGTACTGGCACTTATTAGAAAGACCACCGAATCGAATCAGAAGTTAGAGAGACAATGGAATTTGACTGAGGTAACGGATATGATGCCATAGATAAAAGGAAGTGGAGACGGATGACAAGAACAGCGACTCCGTGACAGAGCAACGTTAAGAAGAAAAAAAGAATAAGATAATCTATGATTAATTGTGATGCTTTGAGGCAAAAACATGTGATAGAAGATTCTACAGAACTGAACAACTTTTCTAAGAACAATGTATACTTGATTGCAAATTTTGGGGTGTTTTGCCACACGAACCCGTACGGAAAGAGCTGGAACCCACTTTGGTCACCCTGATATTGAAATGACGTCAATATTTATTTATTTCACTCATTTATTTATTGGAACATTACGAAGAGCCTTCCCTAACAAGGTTCCCTTAATTGAATAGTTTGATTTAAATTTAAGACACATCCAAATGTCATACACAACGACAGCATTGCTACTAAACGGTGCCACTGCCAGATTCAGTAGCAGCTTAAGACATGTTTTCGCAAGTCTCATGGAATAAAACGTTGAATGTGAAACCACAAATGCCAGTTTTTATTAGATTCTTCTTCTTCTTTGAAGGAATTTCTCGAAGTTTATACTTAGCATGAAACGGAGACATGCTTTGACGCTGATAAGGATGTCACAGACGTGACTATAGGTAATGAGAAAGGAGAGAGCATAATGAATGAAAGCATTCTTTACTTACTTTGCTCAGTGTAATTGTTGTTTATTGTTTATTCAGATCAATAACTCGTCCATTCCAAAAGTGAAGAGTTCCTGTCTGATGACGTGTGGAAAAAAAGAAGGCAGACTGGTGCGGCATACGAAGGGGATATGTTTTAATATGGAAAGTGAGCCACCGATACTTGTCAAGTCAGCCACCTACGTGTCATGTCATGTCAAAGCAGTGACCATACATGTTAAGACAGTGATAGTGGCCTCCATATAAACTCCCTGTAGTGAGAATAAACATCCAATTACCCAATTTACGCTCAACAGAGGTACCGACACCTTTATATGTTTCTCAGAACTTATCACTAGCCTATAAGTAATAATGGAAGCATGAATTCGGCCGCTTCCGACTCGTTTTTATGCGCAGGATATTTCTGATCTTTATTACTGTACAGTGAAGTACGCTTCTTCGAAGTATACTTCCTGACAACATGGCTATCGTTTTGATAACGTATAAGGTGCATGATTAGAGACAAAACAACGGGAACCATTCGAGACTCTCAAACATGAGAACCTGTGCATTATCAAAAGTGAAAATATGTGCCAAAAGTTTTCAAGGTGTACTGCTTTGCTGCTACACCATTATAATGCACACCCATTGTTCCAGAGTCGGATCTCTAACTGGCACCAGTCCAATATAATAAAGTTTTCCTTCCCTCCGTGTTCTGATTGGTACTAGACTCCTCTAGTAGGACAGATGCATTAACTTGTTCACTAACAGCCCAGAGCAAGTCATTGTATGGCCAACTGCACATTTACACACCACTGCGATTCCGAACGGAAGTCGAGCGCGGGGGCCCATTCCAAGGCCGGGGCTGATCAGCACCAAAGTTTTCACTTTCTATAAAATCACCAACCCCAGTGCCGTTCCGAACTTTATCTTTTCTGGCCAATGTTATTAAAATAATTGACGACAAGAAATCCTTATCTTGCATCTTCATCGCACTAACGCACGGTTTCGATGTGAGTTTTTTGAAGAGATACGGATAGCAATTCCTAGGTGGTGAAATTTGATGAATATTTATAATTCACTAGGGGAACGACTTTCTTACTAGCTGGAGTTGATCCGGGTAACAGCAACTCCTTTCGCTTCTCCGAACAACGAGAATTTGAAAACTTTCTACTAGTGCTCAAGGCATGAGGTTAAGCCTGAAGTGAACTTTTTCTTTGCTGCGGAGGGTTGCCGAACATTTACGAGTCGTTTGTCAGTTTCTCAAGTTCTAGTCACTTCGAAACGTATGGGAACATTTGTCTTGACGGATCGGCTTCGGTGCATGGATGATGGGTGGAGTCCCGCATTGGCGTCTACTTTGTACATCTTGGATCACGTCCTGCCTTCTCAACTTCTACTATGTAGTTCTAGAGCACCTCTTGCTTTTTGGCACATGTACCTAGAATCTTTGTATTTTTTGGCTGCTTTTCTCCAAAACCTACCTCATAACCACTTATCATTCAGTACAACCAATTATGACTGGTGTGAGGTAATAAACTGCTTGTAAAGTTGTGTGCTAGCTCGATTACAAGCAGTATCCAATATCATAAAGAAGACTTCACCATTTTTCTTGAACTGAGTCCGAAAAAAGCCGGTGAAGAGCTTCACCACGATTATTCTGGGCACAGTTTGACCTAATCTACCACAGTTAAAGCAGAAAATGTTCTGCTTTTGCTTGAATTGTAAAGATTCTTGGCTATGCAGGCAATACAACACAAGGTCGCTTCTGCGATTGCCATTCCATATTTCTTCAATAAACTCCGATGGTCAGAGGTGCGAGTGAATAGCTGAGCGTTTTTTCGCCCCCAAGAATTATGAAGCTGCCAATAGCATCAATGGTAGCAATGTATCTTTTACTTTGTATCATTTCAATACAATTTATATGCAATAATGCCCATCTAGTGTGTGTAACGGGAAGCGCCTTAATCGCACGAGTCTCCAGACAGTATGTTCGTTGCGATTCAAAAAGAAATAAAATTCTATTGTTTTTTAGCTCTGTAGCGGTTTCCCATTATGTTTTGCTGATATTGCACCTTGAATGCATAATAAATAAATACGACAACACACTAATTTTTATTGACCTTGCAATAATGTTGGATCATAAAGAAGGAAAAGATTGAAGAGAACGGAGAGTGCCATTTTCTCAGCATCGAAGAGCTTTTGCACATTCAATGTAGTCGAGGTTTTGTATGGCCATATTCCACACAGCATCACCAGTTTCCTGAGTTTCTATCAATTACTATTGCTGCATGTAATAGTAAAGTTGTACAACTACACAATGGAAGAATTTAACTGAAAAGAACCATATCCGATATTTCATACCTGAATGGGAACTTTCGCCTTTTCATCCTCTGTCATTGCCCATTCATGACTAAAAGACTTTTTTTAAGCGAATCCACTCAAGAGAAGAAAATCTGCAGAAGTTGATGACTTTTTATAACGTGGGACTCAGTTGTATTACTAGGTGCAGTTCACGAACAATTTCATTCCGTGCATGCATGAATGCACGGCCTCCTTAATTTGAAATGAACTAAGGGGTCGGATATGGTGTAACGGCAAATGGCACATACTATCCCAACCATGTTCTGCGATGAAGATAACCCCAGAGATGCCCCTAAGAGCCGAATCGACCTTCCATGCTCTCAAAAACGGGTAATTGACACAAATTTCGGCGCTATTTACCCTTCACTGCTCCACTTTGTTGAGAATGGGCTGGATTTCTATCGAGTTTTTTGTAAAGAAGATGAAATCGACTAGAAACTTGCATAGAAGGGTAATTTGTTCCGTAGAACACGAATATCGCATCCACTCATCATAAAGATGCCTAGCGCTACAGGCGGCTGCGCCAAATGGAGCTTGGTCACCAGTCTTGCTGAGAACTTGCCCCTAAGTACGAAGTACCAAGTTTTCATGACGAACGGATGTAATATTCGTGTTCTACGGGTCAAATTACCCCTCTAGACAAATTTTTAGTCGGTTTCTTCTTCTTGAAGAAAGTTCGATAGAAGTCCAGCTCATTCACGACAAAGTGGGGCAGTAAAGGGTAAATAGTACCGCCCAAATTTCGCTTACGAGAACAAAAGTAGTGACTTATATATCGGTTGACGACTAGAAGGCTTTGCATGAGCGACATGCGCAATCAGAATGTCATTTTGATTCGGAGGATTAGTGCGAGGCGCATACTAGAAAAAGGACCGATCAACCGTGGAAGGCTTTATCGCGTACTCTTTATTATAAACCAGTGCAGAAACAGATTTTCTTGAAAAATTGGGTGAAGTAAAGTAAGGGAGTGTATTATAAATAGAAACAGAGAAAGTTTGAAAATACTAGCCCACCTTGAAACACTATCATGGTGACGATCAAAGGATGTTAGCGTGAGACGTTTCTCCTGAAATATGATTGCGAAAAAGTTGAATTGCTTTCATGCAGATGGTTGTTCAGACGTTTTGCGGTAATATTGCATGAACGAAAGCAACTTTGTCGGCGGCTAGAAGTGCGCTTCCTGCGCTCAAGTGCAAGTTACATTCGATCGAAGATTTGAAGTAGTTAGTGCAACATTAATTTTTTTCCATCATATTCTGTTAAACAGAGAACAACTGGTTAGATGGTGACGAGTAACCAAGGTCCTTCCTTGTTGAGCATTCCCGTTATATTGCACGAAAATACAGTGGATAAAGAGGACTTATTTATCTAAGAAGTAGCGATCTCCGTCGTTTTCAAGATGCGTAACGGTAAAACGCAACTTGTGTCATCTGTATCACTCCTGCCGTAATCGGTGATTACCCATTTGCTTGAGTGAATGCCAGAGACGCTTGCTTCATTTTGCTGGAAACCAGTATAGCCAGTATAGTTGACCTGTCTACGCATCGCGTTTCGAGAGACTGTCATGTGGGAAATGCTCAAAAGTGGAGCGAACCCACCAAATGCATGCAAAGGCGAACTGTTGGTGGATGTCTACGAGGGTCCACCGTTTTTCGAAATCTGACGAATTGAGAGACCAAAGTAGATATGTTGGCTAATGTATAATAAACATAAGGAAGGGTGTCGATTTAGAGAAACCCTCCAAACAAGAAAATTACAGAGGTCCGAAAAGTTGTTACCATATACATAGCGCACCCTGTGGAACCTCCTCACGTGAGAGACTCATGTATACCACCCCTTCCGTTCAGGGCCACGTAAGAAGTCCGATTATGGGGACAGAGGCCGTCTTTGCTGGTTTGCGTTCCTAAGCCGTATGACGTCATCTTTGAAAATTCGGGGCTCACTGAGAACCAGTTCGGTTACACATCTAGGGAATGCATCGGCTCCGAAGGGTTGGTGCAGGCGACTGTTGAGGTGATGAGTCCGAGTTCCTGTGAACTCAAGTAAGTCTGCTAGAACGTAGTAGATCCCACAAAGATTAGAGTGTTGCTTAATCAAACGGCACAAACTCTGGGATTTGACCGCAACACTGTGTGCGTACTAGTACTTGCTAACTACTTTGCACTGCACCTTGGTGAGAGAACTGCGAATGTCTGAAATAATGTGAAATTACAATCGAAGTAATACTCATCTCGTTGTTTAGCATGTCCGGAGGAGTTTTGAGAAAGTCTGTTAGTGTTGTATTTCCATAACGGTCAACCGTCGAAATGCTGACCTTCGGTAATGAAAGATTTTCCTCTGCCTGAAATAATGGAGCAGACCTGTAATTCCTGGAAGTTGTCTGCCTATTCTTATAATCATCTCCGATTCCCTGCCAGTAATTATACCCGAAAAAATAGTTGTGCCCCTTGTTCTTTCTTCAATGCTCTGAAATATAGCCACGATCTTGTAAAATAAATACCCTTGTAGTCGTTAAAGGAAGGAGTGGGCCTTGAAAAGGCCTCACAGATCGTCCATGATTGAGGATTATATTATAGAATCATTTTGACATGATATAATGACTTCCTTTGTTATGTTCAATTATGGTACCTCCCGATGCCTGCCGACTTTTTGTTGTTTATTGAAGACTGCAAGTTTTTGCATCATGAAATTCTCCATCGGTTTTTCCTTCTGCAAGAGCAAATGTTCAGTCCAGACGTAAGTATAAATGGTACGAAATTCTTATGATCTTAGTTATTTCATCTGTTCAAGCGGATGTTCATTGTGTCTGTCTTCCTCAAGTGGCTTGACCTAAAAATTTTTTGTTCTTTTTTTATCTTCTCACGTGCAAGATGCTTACAAGACCAAGCTTCACTATTCCATACGTTCAACAAGTCTTGCTTTTTCACACTATCAACTGCTATCGTCGACTGACAGCGCTTTCTTATCCACTGACAGTTTGAATTCAACTTCATTCAAACATATTAGCTCAAGAGACTTGTAGCAGAAAAAAGTCGGATGTGTTTGGCTTTTTCAAACTCAATTCCTACCCTTCCTCTATACTGAAGTTTTGTTATCGCGACAACTGATTATCATAGTAATTTACACTGAATAATTCCTTGATGTTACATTTCCCTATCTTCTTTCTTCGTTTACGGCCCACTCCACTTAGTCATCTAGTTGAAACATAGGGCTTAACTTTTTTGAGCAGCTTCCGTATCCAGTGCTCAATTCACAGCTACTTACCTTCGAACGTTGCTTTCGTGACACGCCTTTCTGTAGGACCGGATCAGATGTGGGATCTGCGCGTCTAATGCTAAAGCTCCATTGGAAAAACAAGTTCCTTAAAGTCCATGTTGTTTACTTCTTTCTAAAAACTAGCAGCAACTAAACATCAATAGCGATGACCAACCGTAAGCACTTGTCGATAGCTGAGCTGTAATCTTTGTAAAGTGCATCACAACGGCCGAGGTCTTCTTTATAGATAGCCTAAATATCATTATTGAATCAATTACTTGATGCCAACGTTCAGAAAGTCTTGATTATCTGCTTTAAAAGCAATGGCAAACAAATAAGCTCGAAAGGCAAAAACGCTGCGCACCAGCAACCTCCAAATGCAACACCGATTTACACATACGCACTGGTGCATATTTATACAGTTATTCATTTTATAGTCTTATGCAGTGTTTGATTATGTGTATGTAGAGAAGGATGAGTATCTCAGCGGCGGCCAATCTCATTTTGGGATGCACCCGAGCATTGATCTTCGGTTCAGAATTATAATGACTGGTGAGTTCGTGTGCATCGCATGAAGTGACTTCCCATTTATTAGTTAATGACTTGATGACAGTCTTTACATACATAGATGAAAGATAATTATGTGCAACAAACGCGCGATACGCGTGACACATGATGATCATAGTTCTATCACAGCTCAAGAAAGGCTTGCTGTATCAGTTTTTTAAAGGACATTCGAAGAAGCCCAACAGCCGCAAGTTCAACATGCCTGCAACGAAACGAAAAACGTACATAGCATGCTCCGGCCTTAGTTTTTCCATTTTCAGTTTCTCTTATTTTTATATAAGTATCTCTCCATCTTCTTGTTATTTTAGAGCAGACAGTGGCAGGTAGATAGCCCTGAAATTAGCACATCTCTTGCCTCTCAGGATTGTACGTTAGAAGTCACCTTTTTAGCCCTACAAGTAGTCGATGCGGTGATAATGCTAAATTTTCTTTCGCCCAAGAATCGAGGTCTTACCTATTATAATTACTTGTTCGCTAAATTAGGTTGCTTACTCTGCTGAACGAGGTTGCTGAATGGATTATTTCAATGTGTTCTGGCTTCAGGCTCTTGTCTCTTTGGAACTCGTGGAGTAGAGACCAGATTCTTACTTCACTTCGGCGTTATCAGATTTGTGCCGTGCCGTACCGTCTACGGCAGCCTTCCACGGTAACTCTACATCTGTAGCCAGCCTACAGCTGACGGTCGCTCCAGTGTGATCTTCGTGAACGTGCTCACTTGCTTGGATTGTCAACTACGAGGGCCTATTGGGCCTTAGCAGCCTGTTTCCTTAGTCCGGCTGTCCGAATAGTGTTACTGCTTTGGCAGCACACAAGATTTTTCGGGCCGTGCGGAGCTCCTTAGAATGACGAGACTAACGCTCTCTATGTAGACCTGCACCCTATATGTCGTAGCCCTGAGCCCGGACTATTATTACAAAATACTGTCCCCTCATTACAAATATCATTGTTCATTGCACCAACAACAGTCTATGTATGCCTAACCCACAACCTTTTATTTGTTCACATGTAAACGTAAATCTAATAATGGTAATGAAATAATGAGCACATGAACAAATAAAATCAGTGTACATATTATGAGAAGAAGCAGTCAGAGACGACCCTTTTCACGTTCTTGCTGTTGCGCATGGCCTCTGACTCAGCTAAGACGGGGGAGCCAATCACTGTGCGTGCGATGAAACAAGTGGAACTTCGATGAGGACGATGGAGAACAGATGATGTAGTCGGCCGAGGTTGATCAGACTACAAGAGACGAATGACATGAGCGCTAGAGCCGTCGGCAATCTATTGCCATGCGACGTACTCTCAAAATCTGACGAAATATCGCCGAACCAATGAGAATGGAGCGCGCACTCTACCAACTGTTCTATGAAGTCTGCCGGAACGCACGATATAACGTCCCCAAGAGACTTTATTAAATTTGCAACCTAAATGCTTTAATCGATTTTCATACTTCTAGAGAGGACAAGAAGATTGAAGTTCAATGTCAGCAGGCAAAAAAGGTCCCACTCTGCGATCTTGTTCAGCAGAGGAGTGGACACAGTTCAAGTATAACTTAAAAGACTGAAGTATACCGGATTACGGCTGAAAATGATGAGTTTGCGTGCTCGACTGAGTTTTGTCCCAGTTGAAAAATCTGTCTCCTGCCGAAGGACTTCTAGAATCTCCTTCCTGGATAGCATTGTCACAGGATCAGTTTTCGGAGAATGGTTTGTAGACAGGATTTTCATTGAATACCATATGTATGTGCTATACAGCTAAAAAAAACTTTGTTAACATTCTACATAGTGGCAAAATATGAGTTATTATTAAACCAACCTCCGGTGTCGTGAAAATGGACTGTATAAGATTGCATGCACCGTATAGGGCAGCAAATACAATAGCCAAACTGAAACGCAGTTTCTGCTCATACGAATCATACGAATACCTACCATCACGGTTGTTGTACTCTACTAAGAGAGCTAGCCACAATGCGGGGAATTGTAGAGCCAGTCGCATCAGCACAGTTAAATTATAAGAATATTGATATACGACTAGTTCTATTAAGAATTTATGTGAGGGAATTGCCTTAGAACATCTACAAAAGTAGACAAATTGATAACGTTTTAATATTTACGATTACGAGCATCGCTACGAAATATTAACCACTGAATATCACGTTCTTTGCACCTGCCGGCAAACTGTACCTCTTTGAGTAAATCCTAGAATGTACTAATTGTGTGGCCTGCTGACCTAGTCATTTAGCATAGTAATGGAAACAAATCCATGAAATTTTGTTATGGTCTTTTCTCTCTTCCAAATTATGTCATGATCTTTGGGAACAATTGTTTACTACTTCGTAAAGGGCAAACAAGGAATATTCCAATACTGCTATGAAGCAGGAAAAACTCACGTATTAGCGAACGATGCCGTTACCCAAGCAGTCGATACCGCTAGTGTTACATAGGAAAGTAACATTAACCACGGTCCAACAGCGGTAAATATCAAATTTCTCTGACACTGTGGCATGGATAAACTAACCCTCAACAAAAACAATACATGATCGGTATTCAGCTTACTTTTTCAATCGTGTTTTTCTCTCCATTTGGAATTGAATTCAGATAAATTTCCACTTTCATCTGGTAGTGTGGAAGGTGTTTACGTATAAACAACCCTCTATAGGAGAATGCTGTAGCAATTAGAGCTAGACACATGGCGAATAGGAAGATCGGTGACCACAAATCTATGGTTTCAGCCGAGAATACTCCCAAACAGCTCCAAGACGATGTTGCCTGAATCATTGCGCAAATCGTGTCAAAGCGTATTAACAATCTGAAGAAATAGTATGCATTTTCTTCTGCCGCGCGGTCACCAAAATTGTACTGTATTCAAATATAGATATAGATATAGATATAGATATATAATATAGATATAATATAGATTTATGCATAATTATTGCAGAATTTTTCGTGGTTTCTCTTCTCTCGATACAATTCGAATGTAGAATTGGGTGTGCTTCGTTGCACTTGGCGTCGAAGCTAGGTCACACCGCAGCCGTCGCACGCGGCGAGTCGGCCTGCGATATTTGACAATTGTCGGTGGGGCATACGCTTCGCGTTTGGTCCACGGCAGTCAGTTCAAGAAGAAGATAGCACAGACAAAAGCAAATCATTTGCTCCAATGACACTTGGTGGTACTGTAATGTAAGAGTATTCAGAGTGATGCGCCGCGCGCGAAGTGGGCGGGGTGGCCTACTTTCGATGGACGCGCACAACGGATGTTCTCCTGTTGAATTAGGGATTCGACAGAAATAATCTTCTTGTTTTCCTTAACAGAAATATGTCTAGAAAGCCACCTCCATATACGCCCCATTATGCTCTATTAATTCGAGAAAGGTTGGAAGGTAGTGCAGTCATGGAATGATCTCAACGGACGCTTCGGCGTTGGGACGGGCAGTCAAAGCCGAATAAAGAATGTAATCTCCAGCCCTATTCACCAACAGAAAGTCCTATGGATCAACAAGTCAATCGCCCGTTGAAAAATTGGCTTAGCTGAACTTTCGACAAAATGGATGGCTTGATGGCTGACGTCAAGGCGTGGATCGCCTCCAAGAAATAAAACTCGTTTGCCTGTGGAATCCGACTTTCTGGCGATTAGGAAGCAGTGGTTGACTTAGGTGGTGGAAAACTTCCGGATTAGTTGTTTGAAATGTCTTTGCTAAGTATTTCTACCGTTTTTGAGTAAAATTCGCTGGAAAAAAATTGCAACAAAATAAGTCTACGTGGCGATCACACAATATTCCGGACGGATATTTCCCAAAAAGGAAAGTTGGGAAGTAAAAGCACCTCCCAAGTAAAATTGTAAGCACCACTGTTAGCGGATGTGAAGCAATCGGCGAACACAGATTTTCAGGGTTTTGGAAGTTCGCGATTTTGAATTCAAATGTATCATACAGTATCTTGACCTAAGCGTCGCTTTCGCCAAGCGAAATCGTTTCCGTCAACAGTTTTTGGCATGCAGCTGGCCCGAATACATTAGGACTAAGCAAACTGACTTAGTGCTGCCTAGACTCTTCCAGAGAAAAAAGATGTTAGGCTCCTACAATTCCATTGAACAAACCTTCGTGTACGTAGCAGCTAGAATTGTCAGAAGACCACTAGCCACAACTATGATGGGAACAACAGTTCGAACCTGCAAAGTAGTGATCGCATTGCATCCGTTATGACTCGCATTTTTTCCAGACTTACTGCAAGTTCTGCATCCCTTGTCTCATGATTAAAGAACCTAGTTATCCATGAATTTGGCTGCTGTAGGGTAATCAGTTCTAGGGCATTCAAGGCTTCAGCAGCGAAGAAACCGAGTCCTAAAAATATCCAAAATAAATATGTGGGAACTTTTTCAATCCAAAAAACTGTGCATGAAGCCCTTGCACCTTTTTTTCGAAATCTGAGCAGGGTTTTCTACGAACCAATTTTGCTTAAAGGCACTGTTAATTAAAAAGTAAGGGTATTTTTGACGGGAATTCATAGAACTACTCTAGAATAAAGCGAGAACAACGAAAAAAGCGCAAAAAACGATGAACAAAGGAATCACAAAGGGAAAAAAAGAGCTGGAAAGGGGGGTCGGACGAATTTCAGATTGAAANAGTGTTCGAGCGAGAATGCACGAAGGCGACGCAATGTCTGCAATACAGACAACACATCGGAGTTAACGAGTTTCTTGAATAAAAAAACATTTGCATGCAATAATCTACACAAAATATGTTAAAATCTTCAATAAACTTACGAGAATAGCTAAAGAATTCTACCGTGAAAAATTCATAACAAAAAAAAAACAATAGAAATAACAAACATAAAATAGAAATGACAGCCGAATACTAGCTCCTGTACGAGGCGGTCGACCAGCTGATCATTCCTGGCAATTTGCCAATCTGCGTATCGATTTTTCACCAACTTCGCTCCAGTGCGAATGTGATGAAGGACAACTTGAACACGTAGTCAGCCTAACGAGGGGCGGAGGCCTCCCGTCCCCCACTGTTCCTGGCCTTATTGTGCCCTATCCAGCCGTTTTCCGACCTAATTCCTGCACAAATGTTATCAGAGGGGCTTAGAATTCTAACCATGTGCATATCTTCGAAACCATTTATTCGTTAACAGTGCCTTTAAGTAAGCAACGGCATGTGCGCGACGACGAAGCTCGATCGGACTCGGGCGTTTCTGGCCTTAGCTTCGCCCATCTTGGCGCACGCGCTCACTGTGAAGTGTTGACTGAACATCCTTCATAACCTCTGACCTCTTCTCCTGATTCTATATTCTCCACCCTCTTTGAAAAGAGTAATGAATTTTCGTGGAAAGCGCCTTCTAGTTAAGAAATCATCCCAACCATCTAGGCGGTTCCTTGCGCAGTTCAGGCATACTTGTCACAGATCACAGACCTTAGACCTTGTTCATTCATGAGAATTTCTTGTTTACTTCAAGCTGTGATGGAATCAAAATATGGATTCACGTAGAAGGCACCGCTCACTGCGAGGGAGCACCGTCGACCGCGCAAGTGTGCCTTCCTCTACACATTTGCTCATTCATTCCTCAACTCTGTCCACTTTTCTCGGATCTTGGCCATTCGATCCACTAGATGTCCCGCTTCTGCAGGTGGAGCTCCGCTGAGCTCACGAGTCGAATTTTCCTTATGCTCCCCCCCTTCCCCCTAGTACTTAAAACCTACCCAGTTCCTTCCAGATGACTTTATAGAGTACCGTGCTCCCTGGAAGGTAACCCTGAAAGGTAAACAGCCAAAAGATCATACAGGCATAACAATGAGCTTGACGTACTGACGTAGAAGTTTTATGAAACTTCAATTCAGAAAATCACGATAAGTTATTGAGACAACATTTTTGTTGTAGGTAGTAAAAAGGCACCATCTCAAATGCGACCTACCTAGTAAGTAGGAAGCAGTAATAACATAAAATACCCATTTGCAATCAAGGTACGAAAGATGGAACAGCGTTGGTTGTCGAAATAGAAGGACACCAAAACCGGCAATGGTCAGTGCGAATGAACGACTGTCTTGATAGTAGGTTTGAGGATCCTGTACAGAATTATAGTCAAATCATTCTGATAATGACATCCTGTCTTTCATCGAAGAGATATAAGTTTTGTACTTTGTCATTTTTGGGTAGCCCTTTTTTTTAAGACTAAGTCACTTGACAATTGTTGTGGATTGCCTTAACCTCTGAGATTCGTAACAGCTTTTAATAACGAATGGCGTTTCGGGAGAATCGGCTCCTTGCATCTTTGTGATTCATTAGTTTGCTTGCCCAAATCGCTAAGAGAATATCCTAAGAACTGCGAAACAAAAGCAATAATACGAGTAGAGCTGTTTTGTCGACACCCTGAGCCCAAAGTACTTCACAATATGGAAAAAAATATAAACAGAAAAAATATAAACTGCATTGGAAAACCTAATGAATCACAAACATTTAGGGTGAGCCAAAATTATGATTACAGCGCGCGCCGACGCTCATGGTAAATTTTTCCTGAGTTCATAACAATTCGTTCGCTGTCTTCCATTTCACAAGGTAGATTACATTATTACCTTTGTAATAATACTGAACTTTTGGTAGATTTCGAAAATAATGTTAGCGTCACTAGCCGGTGAATTAATTGTCGCTTTGCATTCACATGCACTTTTGGCACGGTGCATCTACAGACGACTTAGCGTAACAAGGAAGGTGGTGCGATCATAAGACGATCTGGAAAGTTAGGAATAATTGCAGATAGGAGTGGTAAACCCAAGAAGCCTGAGGTTATATTTAGGGGGAGTGTTTAGGAAGCAGGGCGAAGATCTGCTTATCAGTGAAGTTTATTTTGAGCCCAAACTAGCAAAATGAATGGATATCTCATAAAGTTTTCTGCGCGGAATCGTGAAGCATCATCTGCAACAAGGCCCTAATACAATCAGAAAGTGATCTCCCCAGCAAGCAGGCTAAAGAGAAGGAAAAGGCTGGCTCACAAAATTTGCCACGCAGCATCCGAAAAAATTGTAGTGCGGAGCCTTAGTAATACCCTTAGATCTTCCCCCCCCCCCCTAACTCATAGTAAAGAATGACGCGAAAAAGCAAGTGACGCACACAAATGCGATTTCCTTGCTATCGAGTTGCGAGAGTAACGCTCTATTCAACATTTCCTTCTTGGGAAACAGTGTAACCACTTTTTTGACAGGCCAATTTTATCACAAAGTTGACAAAAAAAGTAACTTACTTTAGGCACACATTAGGAAAACATATATGGATGGACATAAATATGCAGATAAACTCATTGAGACTACATTTCAAATTTACTATTTTTCAGCAGTCGATTGTGCTTACCTGCTCATTGTGCGGAAGATAGATCAAGAGAATCGCCTTTACAAACTTGACAATTATTTGGTGAGTTGACAAAGCAAGCGCGCTCGCTAAAGGAGCCACATTAGCCGAAGTCTGAAAATAAAAATGGTCGTCTGGTGCATTGAAGTTGGATAGGATCTTTTTGCAAGATGGTGTGGTGATTTATTTTTTCTTGGCCTGCTTTCAGAAAAAAAACACTATTTTGAAATGAAAAGTTTTTTCCGATGCTCGGCTGCTGCCAATTCAAATAGCTCTCTATTATGGTCGTCCTCGAAAGAATAACAATTTTTCCAAGTGAATTACTCCGTTTAGACTACAAAGGCGTGTAGACTTTCTGGGAGTTTTCAGCAGACAACAAGGCTCGCTCGAGAAATCGGACTCTTTGGCAAAATACAGCAAACACGTGAGAAGAGTAGTTAAAATCTGTCCCCATCGGAAGTTTATTACCATACTTACATGAGAAATATGTTTACACTTCATATATAAAAGCTCACATTGGTCATGTTAACACCGCAGCCGCTCCCAGAAAATCCGTGAATGCATGAGCAGGCAGCCTAGAAAAGTTAAGATAAACCTAGAAAACTGTGAGCATAGGAACACAGGAAATGCCCGTAGAATGTATGTTAAATTGGCTGCCTCTGTGCGAACCATGCTTTCCGTATATGATTCTTTCAAGCCGACTTATGCCCATAACTCACCAACCTTGTGCGCTCAGCAAAAATTTCTTTACAACTTGATTACTGGTTACCCTTCCCTCAAATATGTGACCGTGATTAACAGTACGCGGTCACACCCTGGTGAGCTGACCACCTTGTGTTATTGAAATTCAATTTACGGATCTAGGTTCCAATGTAATCATCGTCTTCAGAGGCTCCGACGGATTCTACCCACTCCGAAGGTAGAGCCTTGGGCCTTATAAAGTGGATAGTTTCGATGGGTCTCGGTCTTATTTTTTGCTAGGGGATTGAACGCTGTTGGATACTGTAAATGGAAGACGACTACTATGTAGTAATGTTAGACGGCTAATTTAATTAAGAGTTCCACCTATATACTTCAAAGGGCGAAAGAATTTTAAAATGCAAACGAAATTGTCGAGGATAAAACGCGAGAGAAATTGGAGACTATTTTATGGCCGTTCTCCCATAACTGAATGAATCGCAGGGATGCAATGTATTCTGCTCGATTTTCTAGAGCAATTGTTATTCAATGGTACATAGATACATCCACCGGAAATCGTAGCCGAACTCTTTACTGAGGAGTTTGGCGCTTTCCGACCTTACAATTGTGGGAATGCATAACTGTATCTTCCGAAAATGTCCAATCTCATTTCCTTCGGTTCACTGTCAACCAGCAAACTGCTTTGACAGTTGGCTCTTCCAAATTTTCGGCTCTTCTTGCCAGTGATACAGCTTAGAAAAGCTTACCACTGTTAAGCTAGACATACTACTGGAATTTCAGAACTCTGGTTCAATAGGCTTCTGAACGTTTCAAACTTACCCGATCCACTTCTGACTCACACGTGCCATACCTACCACAGTGTAACCCTGTACGTTTACATTGGTTAGGAGCCTTCCAACACGTGTTGCCCTAGAGCAAAATAATTTTCGCTGGAGGAATCGTTATCGTAAATAATTGTGATAGTAATGCTGTTACAGTACCTATAACTATAATAGTAAACTCAATAAATGATACCTTCCAGCCCTCCTTGCAGTGACAGACGAATCCGACTGTTATGTTCTCACAGAATGTCGTTCCATGGAAGTCACATTCGTCACACGACTTGCGTATTTTTTTATTGAAAGGAGTTTCAATATCTGAATTAAAATATTGCTATTCTCCCTGGGGGAACGTTGCCTCTGTAATCTTTCTTTCGCCGCGACTGAAATTGTAGTGCAATATTTTGGAGTTCTTCGACAATTTCATTTTCACTGGCACAAGTTTTTTTTTTCAAAAAAGTGAAAACCAGATTTTTCATAAAGCAGTCGAGTGGCGAAGAAAATGGACTAAACGATTCATTTCATTCCATTTGGCATTCAGGTAGTCATTTTATGTTACTGAATGCAATATTAGTGAAAAAGCATGCTTATATATGCTCAGCTCAGAAACCGCTCCAATTCAACTTTGCCTCACAATCGGACTGCTCTTCCTTCGGCTGCAGTCTGCATTTTCCTTGATTCGCAAAGCAAGTTCGAGGGGCGGGGGAGGCGTGCGATTCACGCGTAACCCCATCACAGCTTTTCGCGCACGCAGCACGCGACACACCACGAGGCAAATTACGTATGTGTTTCGATATGATCGCTTCATTACCCTTCATTTAAGATAGACCAAATGAGTTCTGCACTAGCCCATGGCTTCACCATGAAGTAGTGCAGGCCTCTTCACCATGGCAATAAAGCAACTTCGAGATTAAGAATTTACTTCATAGGTCAAAAATTTACTTGTCAAACGTTCAAAATAAAATAACTTCAATATGTTCCATTCAAAATGAACGCAGCCTCTCTGTAAACGTGCATAGTTGATCAATTTTAATTGTGTTTTATAACTTCCTACTTGCCCCATGATGATGCCATAATGATGGTAAGCCTGATGTTATAGAGCGCCTCTTCCACGGCACCGCTCCGCCGTAGGCCCCGTCCTCAGGACCTAATTATATAGACGCGTGAATCGCACCGCACTCCAGGCGCGGCATTACGAGGTCGGTGTCACTTCTCCATCTCGGGTACATCTCGCGAATCATCGCTAGTCAACCTCCCTCATTCATCGAGTAACTAGTGACGTCCTTCGATTACCAAGTATTAAGAACGATAGGGTAAACAAATGAGCAACAGCAGGACTACAACAACAAAACAACACATAATACACAACAAATTACGCACATAACGTCCCTTTTCAAGACGATCTTCAAAGGTGGTACAGTTTTACCGTCCAACAATCAATGCTATTTACCTGTGGCGGTTCCGTTTGCCAGTCCGCCTTCTAGTGACTTTACAATGGAATGGATGTCTTTAATGAAGAACTCTGTTGTTGAGCCTGTACTTGTGGCCCAATGCGCTGTTCCTGAAACTCATTTCAGAATTTTCGAACATTGGTGATTCGAAAAATTTCCACCGAGTTGAGATGGTTAAAGGCACTGTTCACGAAAAAAATGGTTTCGGAGATCTGCACATGGTTTGAATTCGACGCCCCCTCTGCTACCATTTTTGCAGGAATGAGGTCGGAAAACGGTCTGGATAGGGCACAATAAGGGCAGGAACAGTGGGGGACGGGAGGCCTCCGCCCCTCGCTAGGCTGACTACGAGTTTTAATTGTCCTTCACCACATTCTCATTGGAGCGATGTGTCTGCTTGGGTGTGTTGTCTGCTATTGCAGGCATTGCGTCGCCTTCGTGCACTCGCCCGAACACTCCCTTAACCGCCGTTTTTCCAATGTGAAACTCGTCCAACCCCCCTTCCAGCTCTTTTTTGACCCTTTCTATTTCTTTTTGTTCATCGTTTTTTGCGCTTTTTTCGTTGTTATGGCTTTATTCTAGAGTAGTTCTATGAATTCCCGTCAAAAAAGGGTACCCTAAATTTATCGTAAACGGTGCCTTTAATACAAGATGGCCAATGATGATAATGTTGT